GGAACCACTGTTTTTGGCTTATCAGATTTATTAGCCAACTTTTTCACCAAACACGTAACTTTTGCTTTTGCGCGCTGAATTGTGTAATAAGCAGAAAAAGTAAGGTTGGAGTTACTTTTCTGGCTATTTTGGCTGAAGTTACTGTAGATGATCATTTTAGCTATTTTTACATATAATTTTTTCTATATTTTATTAATAAAATATATTTTAAAAATAATTTTTTCTTAAATCAGCAGAATCAGCCAATGTAGCAACTTCAGCCAGAACTTTATAAATTTCAACGGAATCAGCCTAACCAGCCGATTTTAGTGCTACCAAACGGGCTCTAGAAGATAATGAGTCAGTATGGTGTTTCACCCGATTCTATGGATACCCGGAAAGAAGCAAGAGGTGTGATTCGTGGGAGCTGATTCGAAGTTTATCTAGAATTTTGTGCAAAAAGTCTTGGTGTACACCCAGGGTTACACCCTGGGATACACCATATATAAGACTCATTATTTACTGCCTTTCTTTACCCCTCCTCTCCTCATTCACACAAAACCCTCCCCTCGTTCGCGCTCGTTTCTTTCTCCCCACCTCACTCGCTCTGTTCTTTCTCTTCTTCTAGCCTTTGACGTTTTTTTTTTCAAATCTGATGGATGGTTTTCTAGCATATTTGATGGTGGATGAAGAGGTGACCGGAAACGATGGAACTTTGGACGAAACCTACCTGCGACGGATGACAGATGACGGAAATGGAAGAAACGGAGAAGTTGTGAACGTCGGAAATAATGGAGCTGTGAACGAAGTGTTGGAAAAATGTGTGAAAAATTGCATTAAATGGCTATTTTGGGGCAATTTTTTGAGTGGGTTCCACTTCCGATTTGGGTCGGGTCAAAGTGGTTTCGGATTGTCCTTGCTTAGGGCTACAATTCGATATATGGTACGCTCAAAATGGATAACGGGTGAATGAGAAATTGTTTTTCGAATTTTACCCGTTAGAAGGGAAAAAGGATGGGTTTCTAGTGTGTTAATTTCTCACACCGGAAAACCCAAGGGATTTGCAACCCTTTATAAAGGGACTCTCCCCTTAAGGAGTTAAGATTCCTAAGGGTAAAGGCTCTCTCCACGCGCGCAGGGGGGTGCAAATCCCGAATTCGGAGAAGAAAATCCGCGAGTTGCGTGCGCGGGCGACCTGCGGACCCAAATGTCGTCCAAAAATCCATCTCTCAAGAGATACGGATAATTTTGGTTTTCTTCCCGAAACGTAAATTTTTTCCCAGTTGACAGAATTGCCTAGCGGCAGAAACGCTCCGAATAGAAGGCCTCGACCAGAACACCTCGGTATGGTGTTCTGGTGGCTTCGGCCAGAAGGCCTCGACAGAAACCCTCCTAGGGTGTTCTGCCGGCTTCGGCCAGAAACCCTCCTAGGGGTGTTCTGCCGGGTTCGGACAGAAACCCTCCCAGGAGTGTTCTGTTGGGAGGTCTTTTGGTGGCACTTCTGAACCGTTACAGCAATAAATGCCCAACGTTCTTATCTTTTAATGCAGCGTTAAATGGACAGTTCATGGATGATTCAATGCCCAACGGACTGGTCATTGATGTCCAACGTTCAGGTCCATTAATTCACCATTTGCACACAACAAATCCTCCTATATAAAGGCTGGCAGGTGGTTTGCAACAACACACGAACTTAAACGTTCATACACATTCCTCACGTATCTCTTCAGCTAAAAACACCTCCAGTCATTCTGAAAATTCCTGAGTGTTCAGTCTTTGTTCACGTTCGCTGGAACTCTTGTTTGTGTGCTCAAACATTAGTTCGTAGTCATCGTATCCTGGGAAACTATTGTTGCAACGCTTCTAGCACCGTGGGAGGCAACAAATACGTTTTAAGGACATCGTGCGTAGCACGAGCTTTGACTAATTCTGCTTCATCTCCTTTCTTGTTTTTCTCTAGTCATTTTATTTTAATTAATTTCTTTTAATTAATTCTCTTTATTTTCCGAAACACACCCAACACGAAGAAGATGGAGCTGCCATGGACGACGGAAATAGTGGAGTTGTGAACGAAGAAGTTGGAGCTCCGAACAAAGCTGGGGATGAACACTTAGGTGAGACGGGTGGCAACAAAGCTCCGATCACCGATGACCGGGATGATGATATCTTTGACGGGGAAGGGAATAGCAGGGAGAAGATGAACACAAATGTTGGAGGTATTTTCTTTGACACACACAGACAGATTACATATTCAGTGTCGGTATACACAGACAGATTACATACTCAGTGTCGGTATGACAGACAACTGAACAATCCTCATAGAGATAATGTATACCTATAAAGATGAATGTTATATATATGAATGAGTTAATGTATGTATCTATTAATGTTGTTAATGTATACCTACGAAGGTGTATTTGATGTAAACGCAGATGTTGGAGGTATTTTCTTTGACATACAAAGACAACTTACATACTCTGTGTCGGTATGCACAGACAACTGAAAAATCCTCATTGAGAATACAACTCAAAGTCATTTTTGTTTTGTTTTATACTATTTTGAAATAAAAATTTTCAGGTCATTGAGAACAAGAAATATTTAAGTGAGAAATATAGGTAGGACATTTATAGAATCACATAGTTTTAAAAATACAGCCACATTTCCATATAGTAGTTGGTGGACTAAATATATATTTCATCCAACATTTTATGAAAAATTGATGAAAACATTCATACACTATTTTAATGTATACTCCGTATTATTTATATATACCGTACTACTATAATAGAAAAATCATGTAAAACACCACTGTTAACTAATATGTATCTGAACTTGCACTCTATTATCCCATAACAAAGAGGCTACATTGCTGCTATTTTATCCACAAGTCCAAATCTTTTGATATGTTCCGTAGAAAATGTTCAGGTTGATGTGGATATAGCGACCCATATTCATGTTTACGATGACAGCCCTGAACGGAGGTTAGTTTCTATGTGAAATTAAAGCTGGTTTTTTACTTAAGTCTGCATTTGATGCAATCATTGCAAAAGTTGTGTAGCTCATGATAGAGCAAGGAGGAAATGGAAAAAGATGACAACATATGACAGCACCAGAAATCTAGCAGAAAACATGACAGAAATCAGTATATGACAAACAAAGAAAACTGAGCTGAAAAACTCACACGCATATGAATCAAATTGAATCCAAATCAGTAAAGGAACACGGTAGAAAGCAATGTTCCCAAGCACTGGTCAACAATCCTTGATGTTGGCAGATTAATTGAGTATCAAGGACTCGGAACTAGTTATTCAAGAAATCAAACTACAAATGGAAAAAATCGAGGTTTACCCTTCGTTGAGGTCAGAGACTTTTGTCCGCACCATTTCTGAAAGTCGTTGTGCTTCCACCATCTGAAACTCGTTGTGCTTCCGCCGTCACGACCTTGACCTCGACCTCGCCAACCTTCGCTGTGCTTCGACCCTCTACTGCGCTTCTAACTGAGGGTGGTTCACGAGATACAAACGTCTTTTGAAGGTGGGTTGAGGAGTTCAGCGGAAGATGACGGCTGGGAAGAGTTTTGAAAATAAAACTGGTTGTGGGGGAGGAGAAGAGGTGAGTGGGAAAGTGGGAAAGCTGGAATCGGGAAAGAAGAATTGTAGAGGAGGGGTTTTTTGTGGGAGATGGGGTAAAATTTTAAAATGAGTTTATATATGGTGTACCCCAGGGTGTACACCAAGACTTTTTGAATTTTGTATGAGTTTTAACTGGTTATGCGAGATTTTAATGATGTTATACAGTGTTCCTCAGGGATTCCTGGGGGCACTATGGAGCATCGGGCTAATCAATGTGTCATTAGATTTCAGGGATTTTTAATTTTTTTATCCTTTTAATCTTTTAATGGAACTACAGTAAATTCTGTTTTAAAAAGGAAACACATATTTGATCAGTTTAATATTGACAAAATGGTCAATCAAGTACATTTGCTTTGTCAGAACATTAAAATAACTGACCTGGCCAAACTATGCATTTGTATTATACAGTTGCATTCTAAGTCATCAAATAATTAATCTATAAACTCTATTTTCCCCCACACCACTCGTTTTTACCTTCGCTTTTCATTTTATACGAAGTATTTTTCTGGTCTGCTTTCCTTCTCTCCGCTCTACATCTTATATTTCTCCTGTCTGCTCTCCCTGCTATCCCGCCGGTTTCTTCTTTTTGCTCTATTTTATTTTCTTCTTCTCTTGCTATAATAAAGATGGACCGATAGCAAATAAAAGAAGAAGCTAAGCCGACGGGATAGCAGGGAGAGAAGACGAAAGAGAAGGAGAACAGCACAGGCAGAGCTAGAGGGGGCCAACCTAGGCCCTAACCCGCCGCAAATTTAAAAAACACTTTAATTTTAAAGTAAAAAAATTTGTGTGACTTTTTTCGGGAAATATTCTTTATACTGCTTCAGAGCGAGAGAATGGAGAACAAATGTGAGAAATATAAAATGAAGAGCGAAAGTGGAAACAATTGAACTTGAAAAAATTAGAGTTTATAGATTAATTATTTGATGAATTGGACTGCAACGATATATTACAAATTGATGGTTTGGCCAGGTCAGCTATTCTAACATTTTTAACAGAACAAATGTAATTAATCAACTTTAAAAATGCAAATTCATGTACTTTGTTGTTTCAAGTGAAAGACCGAGTACTAATTAGTAATTACTCCATTTGAAACAACTTTGTGCAACATTTTCTCGTTTAATACTACCTCCGTCCCCGAAACAATTTCCCGGTTTGACTTACACACATATTAAGGAAATAAACTTATCATGTGGTAAATTTTACTATTTTGACATTATTTGACTCTGTTTTACACTGTTTGCCATTGTTTTGTTGTGGATAACTTGTCATTTATGGAAATTAGAAGTTAAATTAAGGACATAAAGGAGAGTGAGAACTTGTTCGAGGGAGTATTACACGGTACAATTTCTATTTTAATAATCTTTCTAACAGTATATTCTCCACTCATTCTTCCATCTCCTCCACACACTAAACATTGCCTTATCTCTTTCGCAGCCTTTGAGCAATTCCAAAATCACCAAATTTCTCTACCCATTGCCCAAATGCCTGCTTTATCTTTACTACCGTCGCCATTTCTCTGTCACCTTCACAATCAAAACCTATCAGACCAGTACCTTCATTACCGCTAATGGCTTCTAGACCTATATATCCTCTTACGGTTCCACGATTTCGACATGCATCGTTCAAAAGACCATTCCTTTATTCGTCTCTAGTTTCATGCCCCTCTGCTTCCAGGCTTCAGTTGATCGATTATGCTGGAAGTAAGCTCTTTGTTGGGGGAAGGTTTTTGGCTCTCTTTCCTAAGGCTACTGTCGATCAGTCAGGTTTTTGGCTCTCTTTCCTAACGCTACTGTCGATCAGTTGGTGTTAAAGAAGAATTCTGCTTTTAATGGCATTTTCTTATGTATCATGAATATTTATTTGACGAGAAACGAATGAGAGAAACCGAATTCGCACTTGTGTATGAGTTAAATAAGGATAGTTCATAGTTGAGGATCATGGAACATATAATTTAGCATTAATGATATGATTGCGGTCAAACGTTGATGGTATGAACATGAAATCAGTGATATCCATGATGCTATTCATCAAACTAACTTATTTATACTTGGTATATTTTAAGAAATGGGATCATTTTCGTTCTGTAACATGCAGCTGTTCATGTGGAAAAATTGAACTTATTATGTCCTACAGTTTAGAGGGGTGTATGAAAGCAACATTTTCGTACACTTTTAAAAGCTGTTAAAGACTAATGACATGCTTACATCATTAGGTATTAAACCGAGCAACACTTAGTAAGCTAATGCAAATAAGTAGACTAATGCCTACTTCTGGTTGACTGGTTCCTTATATGTGAAGTAGTTAGGGGTTCGGATGAGTGCAGGAGGATCTATTAAGGCTCTAGTGGACCTAAGTCCCTACTCATTTTTTCTATTAATGTATTATTATATATCATCATCATCACCCCAGTGCCGCAAAGGCTCCCGGGAAAGGGGGGTCGGATGTACGCAGCCTTACCCTTGTACTTAAGTACAAAGAGACTGTTGCCGGATGACCCATAGTGAAATTCGTGTCGAAAATTACATGGATTGACTGCTGCTTCATAACAAAGAAGCGCAGACAGTTTAGTGAGCCATTTTGCTTTATTCCATCATATTCCCAAGCCAAAAAATAGTGAGTCTTTGGCTCCACTGGAAATGATGGAAACCATTGTATTTTTTTTTTTGGGAAGAAACTAATCTATTATTATACGATAGTATATCTATTGTTAAATTTTGAACTATTGTAAAAATTGAAATATGTATAGTAGACTTTAATCTAATTCATATTTGAATTATGCTTCTTTAGTACTCCGTATTATTTAAGCCTACGCTAAGAAAAAATCCTAAATTCTCCACTGGATGAGTGAGAAGTACTCTAAGTCTTAGTCTTAATGTGGTTTTTTTGGTACTTTACAGCCTTACAGGTTTTGAAAATTTTAGCGATTATTTCACACAGCACAGGATTCAAGTATTATGATTGCAAATTTGTGATTTATCTTATGAGTTGTAATTAATCCATAACCAATCTGTAATTATTATCTTTGAAGTTTGAACAACATCTATAAAATAGTTATATTGATGTATAATCATAGTAAATGGATCAACAAGCTCTGCTAAACAGTACATTTTGTTTAAGAAGTGGCAGAAGACCAATCAGTGGAAGACAATTATTAGAACCTGAGATTACAATGAGATGATATGTTTCTGTTTTGGCCGTATCACTAAATTTCACAAACGCAACCAGTAAGATTAGTCTTTTTGCCCCAGGTCAGGTCCAAGAAGATGAATTAGATGACAGTAAGATCTTACCCTATTGCAGCATCAATAGGAAGGAGAAGAAGTCTCTGGGCGAGATGGAACAAGAATTTCTTCAAGCATTACAAGTATCTTTAGCACATTCTTTGTTTTACTTCAGTAGATGTTTTCATTCTCCATTAACAATGTTGCGTGGTCTTGTGTCAACAGTCAAGGGTAAAAGTAGAATTTTAAATTTAAATTTTTGTAAAAAGTTCCATCTGTTTCGTTCTTCAAATTATATGATTTTGTTATTGCTTCACTGTTATAGGCATTCTATTATGAAGGGAAGGCAATCATGTCAAATGAAGAATTTGATAACCTGAAGGAAGAGTTAATGTGGGAAGGAAGCAGTGTTGTCATGCTAAGTATGCAAGACAATGTCTTTCTTTTTTATTTGTTCTATACTTTTTATAGTGTTACATAGAGAATTAGAGATCGTAGAATATTTAATACGTAGTAGTATCTTTATGTTGTCCGTATTGCAGGTGCTGATGAACAGAGATTTTTGGAAGCTTCAATGGCATATGTTGCTGGGAAACCAATTGTGTCAGATGAAGTGTTTGACAAACTAAAGATGAAACTTAAGGTACTCTGAAAAGTCAGATTATCATTAAGAATTTCTAGGAAATAACCTGAAATCATTACATGATGACCACTTTTTGTAGTCTGGTAATGAAAGTTTGAATGAAAAAGAACCATATCACTAACATAGAGTTGTATTTTAAGAAGATGCCTCGTATAACTTGAATATAGAATTTTATCTAGTTTTGCCACTTTAGGATTTATTCCTTTTACACCATTCTAACTTGTCATCTTTTTTTCCTAAAAGATGGATGGTAGTGCTATTGTGGTTGAGGGTCCACGTTGCAGTCTTCGCAGTAAGAAGGTTTGTAATTATTTATTTTCTGTAGTATTGATTCATCATCTTATTTTTCGTCCTTGAGTGTGATAGGTGCTCTTTTAATCCACTGATATTACTTTCTGCAGGTTTACAGTGACCTTTCAGTTGATTATCTGAAGATGTTCTTACTTAATGTCCCTGCTGCTGTTGTAGCCCTGGGATTGTATGTCTTTATTTTGTTCTCTTATTTTTACTTATTACATGTCGGTTTCTGTCTGATTTCTTTTAAATCTTTTCTACTTATAATAATTCGTTTCAGTAAAATTTGATCTTTTCCTATGCCATGCTAGGTTTTTCTTCCTTGATGACTTGACTGGATTTGAAATCACTTACCTTTTGGAGGTATTTTTGTACTTTTGACTCACATATTGTTTCTTTCTACTATATCCTCATGTTGTATTTCTATTTTTGGAAATTGATTTTAATAATACCAACTATTGGAATATTGGATAGAGACTAAAATAATCCTAAACTTAGAAATTACAATTTTAATATCTAAGCTATTTAAATACTGAAAACAATAGAAGCAATCTTTAGTAATAGAGATTTGGTTAAAGTGCCGACATTATCGTCGGAGCTGTTTCTAGATTCCAAAGTTAGAATTACTTTGGTCTATGACAAATAGTATTACTTTTATTCTATAGTCAACTAATGGAATTATTTATGTCAGCCTATTATCTGAACTTATCAAAAAATAGGGGAAAATAATTCAAATATCCCAAACTTTGAATGGGTGTGACTTGTGAGGTAAGCACCCCAAACTTGCACATATAATATATATTCCCAATTTATATATATAAAGTTATGTTAGTAGTAGTACCATGACAATATGCTTTATCACAGATATAATTTTATAGTGTTGAGTACATAATTTAAAACACACAAAGCACTTATGAGGATGCAATAATTAAAATTATATTTTACCGGATTAATGTTATTTATTTTAGAAATGAAATTATAGAATGTTAACTACATTCAAATAAAGCTTAGATTATTTTAAATTATGTACTTATTGTAATTAATAAATTTGTATTTGTAAAAAATCATATAATCATGATATGAAAATAACTTTTTATATAAAGTTCGGGGTATATATATTACATATGCAAATTCGGGGTATTCATCTCACACCCCTTTAAAGTTTGAGGTATTTATATTATTTCCCCCCCAAACAAAAATATGATAGTGTTGTTTCGGTATATGTTGAAATTATATCTGTCAATTAATAATTTTTAAAAATGAGATTTTTAGTAGATAGCAAATATTTGACACAACGTATTAGTTTAAGTCATTTTTTCCTTTTTTACTATCACTTGCATTCCTTCCCCTTTAACCGGTGCATGTTTTTCTTTTTTTAAAAAGATACTCTTTGCTTGCAGCTTCCAGAACCTTTTGGTTTTATCTTTACATGGTTTGCAGCTTTGCCTTTAATTCTTTGGCTGTCATTCTCAATCACAGGATTCATTGTTAAAGATTTCCTTATATTAAAGGTATTATTTTGTCTTCACACTACTGTTAGAAGTGAAGGGAAATATAAACCACATTACCAGTAACTCTGTATACCCCAATTCTAACAGTACCTTTTTGGCAATTCAACGGGTGAAACTCTCATTTTCAGGGCCCCTGTCCGAACTGTGGTACAGAAAACACCTCATTTTTTGGTACTATACTGTCCGTATCTAGTGGTGGTTCCAGCAACAACGTGAAGTGCTCCAAGTAAATTTCATTTGCATCCTGTAAACTTTAAGCCACATGTTTTCTTAGAACTACAAGAATACAATAAAGTTAATATATATTTCTTATTCTCGTTAGTTGCGGAACAGAGATGGTATTTGATTCACGTACACGCCTGATTACACTCCCTGAAGGAAGTGCTGCATAAATAGGTACTAGTTCTCTTCATTATTTATCCTTTCCATCTATCCAAGAATTGTCAAACACAAAATGATGCAACAAGATTCAGTTATTCTACTTGTTTGACTCCACATGATTGAGTGAGTAGATTCTATAGAGTAGTATATAATGTTTGTATTCCCTCCATGCCACTTTGTGTCATATCTGATATGCCCCTTTGTTTTTTATGAGTTGATCTATTAGGTGTTGAACCTTTTAAGAGGAAAATTGCAGGGGTAGTGAATTGGAGAAGATAATTGGTAAAAAGGTTAAAAAATAGATGAAAAAATAACAGTGCTTGTGTACTTGTGGTAATGATGATATTTTCCGTAGTAGGAAAGTGGAGCAGATATTTCGAGCGAAGGGGAAATATGTTTAGAATTTGAAACATGTTTTTATTTTAGTTGCAGGTACTCTCGATTTTTATAAGTCTGACTTGATATATTATGGTTTTAATCTTGACACTGTCATGTAAGACAAGATGTTCTTGTGCAGATATTTGCACAAGGGATAAGACAAACGCTAGTGGTGCAACAGACAATTTTATGTAGTTGGATCGATGTATGTGATATTAGATATTCTTATATGGTTTTTAATCTTTTTATGTATATGCTTCAATCTTGTAGCTCAGATATCTCCAATCTCCATACAATCTCATGTTTTAGTTTGAAGTAAGTTCAACCTTCATTATGTTTTTTGTATTCAACCTTGAAGTAAATATCATATTTAAATGTGGATAGGGTTCCACACAGGACCAATATTTGCTCCTGTGGACCAGAACCAATATCCGGCTATATAATGGCTGGTTGCAGTCCTTAATTGCTACTAGTATTCTTTTTGTTGTTTTGTTTCTTTGATTGCAAGTCGGTTTTGTATCTGGTGCGTTAATGTTGCAAATGTTGGTTTATCAGGAAGGATAATTTCACTAGTCCTTCCATAGTATGCCTGAATGCAGTAATGGTAGGGAAAGGGGTTTAAACTTTAAACGGAAAGAATTTAGAGAGGAAAAAGAATCTATAGAATCTATGGATATTTACAGAGTTGAGTAATCGTTAAAAAGAATGATTGAAAGTGAAAATTCTCATAGTTGAATTTAATGGTCGGGAAAAAAAGTGGTAAAAAGTTCAGTCCAAATGCACATACTTGAATATGCAGATATGCAGACTTTAAGTATTAATGCTTCATTACATTGCCTGTTTTGTTAGACCCTACATATCTGGAATTTTCAATCATTGAGCTTATTTTTCTCTTTCTCTCTCTCCCTTCCAATTATCTACATCTTTTTTATATTTTGCTTGTCAACTTCAATAATATAAGGACTCATTCCATGGAACGGTCTGGGCGCTTGATAGACATGTGCACCCCAAGTGTTGATTGGAGTTAGGGATGGACCGGGACCGGGCTCAGGACCGGGATTGGGCGGGACCTGGACTAAAAATTTCAGGCCCGGTACCAGCCCGGGTTTGTACCAGGACCGGGCCGGATCTAAATAGTGCCGAGTCGGGATCGGGATGGGCCTAGGCAATAAATTAAAAAAAATAGTGCAATCGGACTCGGGATCAACCGGCTCGGACCTAAAAAATGAGCCCGAAGCTTGCCCTTATAGCCACCAGGCTGGGCTCCGGGCCTAAAGGGGACCGGGCCGGGCCAGGCCTAAACAATATCGGTACCGGGCCGGGCCTAAACAATACCGGGACCGGGCCAGGACCGGGCCGACCCATCCCAGTCCATCCCTAACCGGAGTAGGCACTATCCTGAAGAAAAGATTTCGCAAAATGGCTAATGTTATCCTTGGTGACTACAGTCACTTAGCCGGCATGAGTCCCTCAGTCCCTGTGACGAGTTATGTGAACCAATGTAGCACATAAAGTGTGTATGTGCCACACCGTTAGGCCACTAGTAATTCACAACTTGAGCTCTTGAAGGATATATGAAGAGTTATCAAACAAATTGGTGTAAATATGCGGTATCAAATAATATGAATGATTAAAATAAGTCCTCCAACTGTCAAAACAAAAAAGAGAGCCTCTCTCTCTAGAAAATCGGTCTTCCCTAAGGCTTATCGCTGCTGGGGTTCTGATTCCGTTTTCATCAAAGACGAAGAACGGTGTTTGGGTGCGGTGAAGTCGAGCGACGGCAGAGGGTTCTAGTCTTCTCGTCGGTGGGCTCTGTCGTTGCTTTGGCTTCAGTCGAACAGGAAGACGTAGAGCACGGTGGACATAAAGGAAGTTTTGGTAGATGGAGGATATTGCCAACATCTACAAGAAGATGACTATTAATGAGAAGGACAACGAGCTTAATTTCGATGATGAGGCAGAGGACCTCGATGCGGTCGACGAACCGAGGGTGTTTCCGGTGGTTGGAGTTGGGGTTCCAAGATCTGTCGGCTTCAATCTGGCGTCCGGGAAGAGGTGTGGCCATCAAGGAAATTGGAGAAAAATGGTAGCTTTTTAATTTTAATCATGAGTTGGATATGAATCGTGTTCTTGAGGATGACCCCTAATTGTTTGAACGTGATTTAATTCTCTTGAAAGTTTTTCAGCTAGATGATATACTTGAAAAAATGAATTTGTTTGAGGCTGAATTTTTGGGTACAGGTTCACAATGTACCATTTAAATTTAGAAATTTGGGTTCTGCCAGGAGGATTGAGATTTTTTTTAGGCTCTTTTATTAAGTTTGATAAAAGCCAGTTTGAGGGCAATTGGAAATCATATTTACGTATTCGAGTTTGTATGGATGTGCGAAAGCCCTTAAAAAGGGCACTACCTTAACAAAGGAAGGGGTTGGGCACTGGGTGAATTTTAAATATGAGAAGCTACCCAATTTCTGCTTCATGTGTGGGATAATTGGGCATTCTGATAAATTCTGTCCATTAAAGTATGAAGAGGGGTTTGTGTTAGAGAAATCCTTTGGGGTGGATCTCAGAGCTGGAGGGGTGAAGACCAGCCCTACAGGACCTAACAAGTGGCTAGTTAATGAATCTTCAAGTTCCGAAGGATATGGGCAATAGCGGAAGACTGATCTCGGGGGCGAGTATTCGGCAGAAACAGGTGCTAGTGTATCCCAGCAAGGTGGGATGAGCCACAAGGAGGAAGCCTCGGGTGAGATAAAGCGCAGAAGAATTTGGGAAGGTTAGGCCAAAAGAGCCACAGTTGGAGAAGAAATGGCACTAGATGGGCCAAAAAATGGGGAGGCGGCGGGTCAATTTTCCTAGGCCCGCCGAGTTTTCACGTGGCTGCGTTGATCGGGAAGACAAATGCTGGTTTTATTTTCATTGTTTGCTTTTACTGTTTTTTCCATGGTTTGATTGTTCTGTTTTACTTTTATTTTTTTCTGTGGTGTAAGACTCTTGCATTAGGTTTGGGGGATGAGAGGTCTACGGTAATCGTCATTGGCTTTATGTTGCCCAAATTAGGTGTAGCGAGTTATATTGCTTTGCCAAAGGTGATTAACTTAGAGTCTCGATCAAGAGCGGATGGTTACATGTGGTCCTTTTATTATCCTGTACCTCTTCTGAATGCTATTTTATTAATTTAAGCCCCATTCGATCAAAAAATAAATAAACAGAAATTGATTTAAATAGGAGTAAAAACGTTTTGAAATTCCAAAATAGGGGTATCATGTTTTTTATTCCCTGGATAGGAGTAAATTTCTGCCAAGTTTGGCATTACAAGGCTTTTAAACATGGCATTTTCTTCCAAACTTGGCAGATTACTCCTATTCAAGGAATAAAAAACATGATACTCCTATTTTGGAATTTCAAAACGTTTTTACTCCTATTTAGGGAATTCCCTCATAAATAAATAATATGAACGATTCAAACTGGCTGACTTCTAATTTATACGCTTAGGTAATACTTCTAACAAGAATTTATACAAGCAAATGACAACTCGTCTAATTAATTTAATTTAGAAATAGTCCCAACATTAAGTGCTGGGTTGAGTGACTATCGAGGAGCACACAAATGTGTTAAATTCAAATGCTTAATGTACTTATAATGTATTCAGGCCACACAAGTAACGCACGCAGAAAATGCAGTCAGTCAATCATCGTGATACAGTATTAAATCTAAAATCCAAGTTGTTAAAGAAGTTAGTTAGAATAAATCTGTTTTGCTGTTAATCAGTTAGCATCTTAACTACAGGTTGTATAAAGAAGGGCTTCTTGATTGTAATTGGACATGATCAATACAATAATCCCCTTTCACTCGTACTCTTCTTCATATTCTCTATTCATTACTCAGCTCGAGCTAATTTTTTCATCTTCCTTAGCTCCGCAGATTGATGTATACGAGGTCCATTCTTCAATAGAATTAACTTGTATTAATGGTATCACAGCTCTTGATCACCATTTCGCTGCAATTCCATTAAAGAAACTTCAAACTGAGTAAAACAATGGTGCCAACTCTTAAAGAAGTAGATGAAGCAATTAATAAGAATTCGCTCTGAGAATGATGAAAAACTCTCAAAACTGGAACAAATGATTGCTAATTTGACTATCCTAGTGCAAAACAGTCAACCATCTTCCAGTTCTGGCATGCAAGAACAACCATTAGTGCCTGGTTATAATCACCGATTTGTAAATTTTGTCACTAGATGCATTAAACTTGATTTTCCTAATAAGTTCAATGGTGAAAATGTGAAAATATGGTTGTATAAATGTGAGCAGTTTTTGACTATTGATAAAATTCAAGCACATGTTAAGATTCTACTAGCTTCCATGCATTTAGATGGAAAGGCACTTCAATGGCATTATGCATTAATAAAAGATAGAGGCAATAATGATATAATGCTATGGGAAGATTATGAGCAGTTAATCTTGGAAAGGTTTGGGAAAACATTTGATGACTGACGACACTATAGTCGTTGTGTGCCTCAAAATAAATACAATGCAACACTTATACATAGTACTCCCTCCGTCCCAATTTGATGATCCCGTATTTCCTTTCTGGGCCGTCCCAAATTGATAGTCCTATTTCCCTTTTTGGAAAGAAATATGTGGTTCACATCATTTCACCTTTTTCTACTCAAATCTCAACCACAACTTTTACCTTTTCAACCAGTTCCTTAATCTTTGAGCCCAAAAGAAATGAGATCATCAAATTGGGATGGAGGGAGTATAACATAATACGGTTCGTATCAACAGAGAAAGAAATACTTCTATTTTAAAGAACTAGTAACAAGGGATTTTTTAATGTTGTTGTTGAAACATAAGTATATTTAAACACTAAGTTGAACGACTTATGTGGTTTAAATTAATAGAGATGATTACTTGATTTTGCTTATATCCACTTAACGAAATGTTCGTCGATCCCGGTTATATCTTTAACTATCTTCCTCTCGAATACTCAATCGAGGAGACATCTCCAATTCATCGAGGGTAATTATTAATAACGAGACGCGTTCATTAATATAACTTACTACCAAGTCAATATAGAACACACATCGTATATAGACCCGATGGTAGCAATAAAACTTAAGATAAAAACGATTGATATTGATAACCTCAACACAACTGGTTTATTGGTTTAATCAATATAATTAATTCCTCTTAGATTATTAACCATAAGACACATGTATTAATAATCCAAGTTTACTACCATGAAAGAATCGAACGATTAACAACCGTATTCGTTGACCGATTCTAGTAATGATTAATATATTGTTGAGTTTAATCCAAAGTGTTACATTTCTTATAAGGTAGTGAAATTAAAGTACAATTTCTTATGCTCAGGTAACCCTAATTCAGTGTGTTCATTACCTATTTACGGAGTATGTGATTCTATTCATCTACCTGATTCAGTACGTTGTCTATTTGATTTCATTAGTTCATTACTAATATACTCTATTATGCTTGTATTGTAGTGTTATTAT